ACTGCCTGAATAGCTAGTGTTCCATCTGAGGTCTGAACCAAGCACACCCCAGATACAAGTCTAGATAAACGAGATCAGTGTGAAGTCTAGAGTACCATCACACCCATTAGCAATGGAACTCCTCTGTAAGATACCGGTATAGTGAAACACATGAATGGCATTTGACTTGTCCACTAAGTTGACATTTATTGAACCCTGCAAATGGTACAATGATACCATTACCTAGTTCGCGTAGTTTTGCAGGCATACTCTATGCTTCTGTGCACTTGTTTCTGATTATTCCTCTCTGAAGCATGTTTTTAAAGCCTGTTCTACTTCAAATGTCTGTTCAGGTATAATACAAGACAGCTGCATATGAAGAAACTGCTGTGGCATTCTGGTTGTTAATCATCTGCAACCAACTGAAAACACACAACACATCAGTTAAAACACTCTTCGTTATCGGCACATGCTATGGTCCCTACAGCACTGACAAGAGCTTCATAAAGAACTACTCAAGCTGCGTGCCCTCATCCCTTTACTGTCAGATTTTCTACAGATTTCATATCACAAAGGTTTAAAATCAACAAAGCAAAACACAAGCGCCATAGCTCAAGCGGTTAGTCACTGGCTTGCCATCGCGGCGGCCCGGGTTCAATCCTGGGTCTGGTCAAGTGGGATTTGTGGTGGACAAAGTGGAACTGGGGCAGGTTTTCTCAAAGTACTTCGGTTTCCCCTGCCAATCTTCATTCCACCAACTGCTCCACAATCACCCTCGCCTATCATCTGGAGCTGGTACAATAGGCCAGAAGTGGCCACAGTACAAGGGACTTAGTCCCACCCAACTAGCAATAAAAAAAACACAAACCTTGAGTGAGTGTCTGCACATGTTGCTGGGCTAGATGAGGCTGGTTGACAAGCGTTCATATTTGCAATAAATGAACATTAAGTTATGTAGCATCAAATAAGATGAGAAGATATTGATGAATGGTGAGTAGGTAAGGATATTGAAGGAGGTGATCATGGCCTATTCGAAGACATTATTCTGCGATTTCTCTTGGGAGACTGAGTAAAACCATATAACCCTGTCAGCAATGCCAGTAACCCAGCCAGGATTCAAAACCAAGGACTTGCCATACAAGCCTACACTGTTGTAACTCTCATACTGTAAAGTATTCCCTGAGTTAACAAAAATGTGGTGTTAAAGCCTGCACACCACATAAGAGTGAGACCTGTTACTGATCTGACCTTTCTCTTCTTCGCAGAGGTACGGTCCTGCTCTGCACGCTTGCGTTTACTGCTCTGAGACTGCACTGGTCCATCTGTCTCATCCTGACTAGAAGACCCAGGAGTGCTTAGGAAGTCTTTCTGTTTGTTAGCCTCTGTTGTGCGGGTCTCTCGCCTCAGGGGAACTTCTCCCACAACCTGGACCAGCATCTGCGTTGTCAGGAAGTCCTACACCAATGACATTCCCACAGATGAATAGAACTACTTGCTCTTCGGATATACAGTGATTCTGAACATATAAAATGATGGCCTAAAATTGTGCAAACAGTAGATCATGACAAGCTGCACCATTCAGCTTCAGTGCACTGAAGAAGAGAGACAATATAGCTCAGTCAGTATAGTGCAAAAATAGGCTACAGACTGAATGACCAGAGCACTGGGGGGACAGACATGTTTCTCCTCTCCACAGCATCTGGACAGGCTCTGCAGCCCAGACAGCCTCTACCCAGTAGGTTCCATCAACTAACCATTCACCTTAATCTAGTGTTGTGCTGTATAAGTATGAGTATGAGGGGTGAGCCATGAAACTGGCCCTAGCACTGCGACCTTTAATGGTCTATTGTGCTTGTGTCGTCCTGTAACTCCACTTCCGCAGACATCTTAATCACATGGCAGTTAATTAACTAAGCATAGGGACAACTTTACCTTATACATGTAAGAAACTGATCCCTTTGGCTGTGTTAATAGAGCACAATTATTTGAATATCATACACATAAATAAATTGTATTATAATTTGATTATCAAAACATTGCACTTCTGAGAACAGATTTCTTTAACCCACAAAACACTGTTAAATCACAAATATAAATCACTCCGTCCAATGTGACCTGTAAGTTTATTACTACATGAGAAACTTAACACCCTTACATGTTTCGGTCTCTGCGGACCATCTTCAGAGGGCAAATGTCACTACAAATAGGAAACCACCTTCACATAAGTTAGATGGAAAGTACGTACACTTATATGCTACAATGCATAGTACACAGAATAGAACATTTCACAAACACAGCAGTTTCCTGGGAATGTAAAGTTTTTAAAAATTATTTAAAATTTCTTGATGCTAATTAAAAATTTTTTGCATTGTCAGTAATTAAAATTCATAAACCATGTAGGCTCGTGTTTGTCCTCCCATCGTCCCTCTTGTATGGGGCAGATATTGTGCCACCTGGCTATCTTGATGTGGAGGTTCTTTATATCTTCCAGGGTTTGCTCGTGGCTGCTGTGCTGTTTTCACTGAAAACAGCACAGCAGCACTGAAAACTGATTTATATTTGTAATCGTTAGTGTGACGGACCAGAATGAAACAAATCAAACTGTTAAATCCTTATTATTAAAAATGACAATGAAAATGCAACTGGCTATACAGCAAACACAGAAATACGAGACTGGTTCTGTGGACCTGAAGACGTACAAGAGCAGGATGAAGACAATGAAGAGGAAGAGGAAGGTGAAGTAGAGTAGAGAAAGAAGACAAGAAACAGAAATGTAGTAGCAAGCAGTTTAGTTTAACGACAATGCTTCTGACATATTTTGGAGTCCACAGTCTGATAGCTGGTTTGGGCATCAGCTATTTCAGACTTGAAGGTCTTCAAGATTAATTTCAGTCCCTCCAGCTATGTGCTGAAATGACATGTTTAGAGGACCTTTCTGACTTGAAGGTCTTCAAGATTAATTTCAGTCCCTCCAGCTATGTGCTGAAATGACATGTTTAGAGGACCTTTCATCCAAGTTTCTTTATGGCTAATTCAGAACACAGAAGCATCTTTTCTATTGTTTTATATTACAGTGCTGTCAGGATGTAGACTAGCATTGAAGGGTACGATGACTAATGAATGATGAATTGAAAGGGATATGGAAGGAAGGAACCTTCCACCTGTCCCACTCAGTACAGTACAGAGATTCCTGTGGGTTTCCTGTCTCTGCAGGCAAATGCCATGACAGTATATCCCTTCTGATTCATTACTCATTGATCATCTCCACCATTGGAGCTACATAGTGTGAGCTAATGACAACGCTGTATACTATGATTAACGATGTACTTAACAACAAATTGAAGATCACAGACTGTGTGAGGCAAAGCCCCTGAAAAACAGATTTGCCAAGAAATGGCAGCTGATTCATAAGTTACTTCTTTAATGACACTTTACCTGCACAAGTAACATAATGCAGTAAGATGACCATTAAGGATTCAGAGGCAAGTCATCATGACGTATACTAATGACAAGGAAGTTAAGTGAGAAGCAGGTGACGGCTAACCTGCACATGTTGCATGCCTTCCTGCTGCATCTGGCGTGCCATCTTGTGTACGAAGTGGCTACTCTTGTTGTACATGACAGAGTTGAGAAACATGAGCAACACGTCTCGCTGGAACTCTGCTGTGCTCCGTGTCACACCCAGCTCAATATTCTTCTTGATTGTTGACAGATCAATGGGCCTGCAAGGACCCCCACACACATGAAATTCACTGTCTGTACATACATTCCTCAAATGCTGGTCTGAAGCAGGTACAGACAGACATCAGTACACTAACAGTGGGTAAGATGAGACTTGTAAGCATGCAAGGACAAACCACATCAGAGAGAGCAATAAATGAAACAAGAATTTCAAGAAGAACTGCCTACTTTCCCTTCACTATATACAGAGTATCAAATATTACATGACCACACAGGAAACACAGTTCTTCTAGAATATTCTAAAGCGTTCTGATGATGGTGTATAACACTCGGAATTACTGGGTTTCTGGAGTCTCTGTTGTCCAGTAATCTAAAAGCTAATGGGGGACACATCTACTATGCTCGATCCATTAGAAAGAGCTAACATCAGTCAGATCCACTAGAGCTATTTAAATACCTGACAGCAGGCTATGTCAAAGGGAAATAACTAGAACGTTATAGCAAACCATGAGGAACCTGTCGCATCATACAGAACTTCTCTGTGAGTTGGTAACTTCATTACTGATAAAGAGAGATCCAGATGGGAGGAACGTCCAAACTCGGTTGGCTGATTGCAATGCTATAGATGCACTGTGTCATTTGTAGTGGATCTCTTTCCAGCCTGGTCTATAGCATGCCCTGTGAATGTGGCAGAAGCTACACTGGTGAAACAGGCAGACCTCTAGCCTCTCAACATGGGGCTTCTAGAAAAATCAAAATTAGCCCAGCATGCCTATGAAGTCATAGGTAAGATTGGAATGAAGCCAGGATTTTGGAAGTTGACAGTAACAGCAGGTACAGGAAGCAATGGAATTGGGCCATATGACATGCTCAACCAATCCAATCAGAATACAGGATGAAATTTAGAAGGGGCTTTGGAAGGACAGAGACAGAAGAGGAGGCTTTTTTTTTATTGCTAGTGGGGTAGGACTAAGTCCCTTGTACTGCGGCCACTTCTGGCCTATTGTACCAGCCCCAGATGATAGGTGAGGGTGATTATGCAGCAATTGGTGGAATGAAGATTGGCAGGGGAAACTGAAGTACTCAGAGAAAACCCAGCCCAGCGCCACTTTCTCCACCACAAATCCCACTTCAGCAGACCCGGGATCGAACCCGGGCCGCCGCGGTAGGAAGCCAGCGACTAACTGCTTGAGCTATGGTGAAGAGGTAAACATCCCACACAGAGGAGAAATATCAAACAACAAAGATAACAGCATGTATACTTAAGGAAATAGTCCATACCTGTGCACTATACTGCTATAGCCTGGGGCCTGGTCATCTGTGATTGGGCGCAGGAAAAGCGAGGCATACTTGTGAGTGGCTAGCCGTCCATATAGCAGCATGATGGACTTCTTCCATGCTCGATATTCACGGTCTTCATCACTACAGCCAAATTATAATTTATCAGCACCCACCCACACCCTGGATATTGCTGTCTTGTGGGATGTGCCACTGTCACCAACGTTTCAGAGAACCATGCTGCCTCCATCTTCAGGGCAGAACATTCTGATTACCGAACCTCAAGGTTCATACTGCCCTAACACTGAAACTATCCACTAGATCCAATCATGAGACAAATTAATTCAGTCCGTATTCTCATGATTTGTTTCATTGTGATCCCATTCAGTTCTTTCCTTACTTATCTCTTGGTTTTGCATGCACCTTTAAAAGAAACTTCTTCAAGAAAATTCTGTATACATTTCTCACCTACTTTCCTTCATTCAGCTACGTACATGGTCTCACCTTCATGTAAGTGTGCACTGATATGAAATTCACTTTCCAACACCTGGTTCCAATAATTACATATTCACAAGGAACACAGTCCTTCTGGAGAAGCAAAGAGTGGCTCAGACGCTCGACTAATACTGTGTTCACAAGCCTCCAGTCAATACTCATACTAAATTTTATTTTAAATGTACTTTGCAATTTCATGATAAAACATGCAAAAGACTGTAAAAACAAACCACAGATGACCTCATGTTTCATGAGACCTATGATTCAGATCTTCAAGGGACACTGACAGAAACATTCCTCCCTCTAATGAACAAGCAAGAAATCTCAACTCACGTGACAGGTGCAGCAGGACTGTTCGGCACAGAGTCAACAGGCGTTGCAGTGGCGCCCCGCCGTCGGTTACTTCATGGTGGTTCCACAGCATCATTTGTCTTGTCATCCTCTGTGGATGGGGTATCAGCCCTAACTGTTACCTTCTGTGTGGCAGCGATCTTGTCAGGTAACTGCTTTGGTCCATCAGACGCTCCCTTCTCTTTCTTGTCTCCCACCTCTTCATCATCATCCTCCTCCCCCTTCCATGTTTTGCCTCCTGTGACGCTCGCCAGTGGGCTGTAAGAGGGGCATATATTTTCAGTGATGTTATTTGACTACACTAACCCACATGAAAAGCTATGAAGTTTTCAGGAATAAATGGCAACTAACTAAGTCCACTGCTTTAGTGTAGCACAGTATTCAATTTAACTATAATGAAGTCACACAGCTTCCTGTCAATTTGCATAAATACATGAACAAAATTCACTGAAGAGAAAGCAAAAGAGAAGCAAAACTATATAAATTTGGCACACAAAATGTATATAAAAGTATGCAGTACACACAACAATATTCTGTATTTAAAACAAAGTAGACACAATCATATCAACATTTGTTTTTAATGATGCAACATGTTTCGACCCTTGCACAGGGACATCATCAGACTTCTACCACCAGAAAATCACGTCAATATGTAGCGGCCATGAAGTTTTCAAGAGATTTATTGCAAAATACTTCATTTCCATTTTAGAACAATTTTAACATTTATCTTTTAATCTTTAGTCTCTAATTTTTAAATTTTATTATCAGAGTATTCAAAATTTTAACTGAAAGACTCAATTAATACATTTAGAAACACTCAAGTGCACAATAAGGATCCTTGTTGAAGATGCAATTCAACAACTGAGTCTGGTACCATTTTACACCTGACGATGACCCTGTATAAGGGTCGAAACATGTTGCATCAATAAAAACAAATGTTGATACAATAGTGTCTACTTTGTTTTAAATACAGAATATTGTTGTATACACTGCATTCTTTTGGATACATTTTGTGTATCTTGTTTATGACATACAACAGGATGCATACTATTAAGATTATTTAAACTGGAGTCCTTATTTTGTAATTTTTGTAATTCTGTGTGTGGGGGGAGGGGGCACCAGCACTGAATGCTATTTGTGCTTGGATGAAACTCAAGCTAAAACACTCCTTGTCCTATGACTGTCTCTGCTAAGGTACAGCCCACTACCAGCCGTGCAAGCTGAATGAAAAGCAGAACTTTCTATTGTGGAGCTTTCTGATTGGCACTTGGTTTCGTGGAGTGGGTTCCCAGGCAATGTTCACTAACAAACTGAAATGCATTCACAGCTTATAAATACAGCAAAGTGAGAGTATCCTCTTTCATTTCAACATAAAGGTACAGATCCAGTGGTCTCTCTTGCCATCAATACTGCAGCAAAGCAGAGGCATCTAACATGGTGTCACTAGCTAGAATATATAGCAGAAGGCCACGCCATAGCTCAAGTGGTTAGTCGCTGGCTTCCTACTGCAGCGGCCCAGGTTCGATCCCGGGTCTGGTCAAGTGGGATTTGTGGTGGACAAAGTGGCACTGGGGTGGGTTTTCTCCAAGTACTTCAGTTTCCCCTGCCAATCTTCATTCCAACAACTGCTCCACAATCACCTTCACCTATATCTGTGGCTGGTACAATAGGCCAGAGGTGGCCGCAGTACAAGGGACTTAGTCCCACGCCACTAGCAATAAAAAAATAGACTATATAGCATCAAACGACAGTATGATAGATGAACGAATTGGAAGGACTTGGAAGGTAGCACTCATAGCATAATTGTGGTACTTTCTCAGCATTTGCATGGAGGGTGTTATGCCTCAAATTTACAAATGTAATATGGGGGCATCGACAGTATGTTTTTGGATCGTAAAAAAGGTTTTATGCTGACACAAGGTTCATGTTTGTGAAACGCAGAAGGGAAAGAGCCTGGAAAAAAAGAATGCTTTAGCTCAGCACAGCCGCGCTGACAATGCGGAAGTGAGCTCATGAAGGTAAAACACTGGGAGAAATAGAAATGCTGAGTACACAGAGGCTGGCAGAACGGGATTCGCCGCCGTGAGAAGTAACTATCCAATGAGCACTAGCCACCCTCAGAAATAGCGTCAGAAAGGGGCAGGAGCTCACCCTCCCGGAAGGTGATGAGCTATCAATTCCAGAGTACAAAAGTATCAAAATGGAAAATGTTTGAAGGTAATCAAACAATCTTTTCAAGGAGTGTAGCCGGAGGCTATGTCCATCATGGCACCGACAAAGTGGTGGTGGGCGATGATCATCTGCTTATCTTTCTCGAGTAAGTCGAACTACTCATATTAGCCATGAAATGTAAGGTGATATTATTAAAGTGCAAACCCAGTGACTAAATAAGCAACAGAGCAGGCTGGAGTACCGTGTGTCAGTACAGGAGGGATAACGAATATATGTGAACCTTGTGCGACCCAACAGCAGTCGGCATTAACTACTGTATATATGTAGATACTAGACAAATAGAGTAGGATGGAAATATAGAGAAATTCATTGGTACAACCCACTAGGCTCCTTCCCCTTACCGCTCCTGCGTTACCCTACGTCTCATGGGAACTGTGAACTCGGAACCAGGGAGCAACGACAGTCCGCACAGGAAGAATAAGCCGGAGGAAGGGGGAGAGGCTCCTGAGGGACAGGAGCCGACTGAGAGTAGACTACTGTGAACTACTGTTTTTTTTTTGGTAATTACTTAATACCCCCCTTACGGCAGAACAACTGGTGTCAGCGATAAGATTTGTAAGACAAATATTTGTGTCGCAATCAGTGTGGCAGCGGTGGGATTAGCCAAAGAGAGATAGCTGACGTAGTAATTTAGTATTCTGTTTTAACCACCCCTGTCATCACAGCACAACAGAGGGAATGAAGAAAACCATGAAAAACTGTAGTCATGATGGTTGATGTCCCAACCAAAATTCAAACTAAGCACCTCCTGAACACAAATAGAGAGCATTACTGCTACATCAACCCATTCAGTCATAACATTTCAAATCATTCATAATCATATTATTCAACAATCAATAACTTATAAATTTGATAAAACATCAAAAGTTATAGTACCTGGCATTCTCCAAAACAGCTTCCTCCCCGTGGTCTGCAGACCAAGCCTTCTTGTCGATTTTCTTTTCATCCTCACTGCTTTCAGCACGCGAGTCATCTTCATCAACTGCCTCCCCAATCTCTGTTACATCATGTACCTTTGTCATCAATTCCTCTCCCTCTGTGTCTTGTTTCTTTGTGTCGTTGGGCTGATTGACAATTCCCTCTTTAGATTCTGCTGTTGGCAAATCCTCTTCCTGTTTCTCACACTGCTCATCAACTGTTTCATTGCCTGCAGCTCCCTCTCTCTCTATATTTTCTTTAACTTCATCTTCCAAATTTTCTCCTGCTATTTCTTTTTCCATGTCACTCTTTACAGTGTCCTTCTTTACCTCACTAAGCTCCAAACACTGCCCTTCAGAGTCTACAGCAGGCACTGATTCCTTTGTGGCTGCACACCTATCTACTGAATCTTTCCGCTCTCCACTATTCACAGCTCTGTCACTTGCAGGTGTCTCTTGTTCATTATCTTTCTCCACCACCATCTCATCTCCTTCCCTCTTTATGCTTTGTTCCTTCTCTTTATCAAGCTGTTCATTTCTATCCCTCTTACTGATTTCTTTCTCCTCTGCTTTGGAAGTAGGAATTTCAATGGCAACAATCTCAATTCTAGATGCTTCATCCATTCCAAGATCTCTATCAACAACACACTCTGCAGTCACAATTTCACTAACACCTGCACTATCAGGATCACAAGTGCTAGATGAATCATCTTGTTTATTCTCTGACAGACTGTCCTGTGGCTCACCCTCTAATGTCACCTTCTCACCAGTATCCTTGAGTGTTTCCTGAGGATCAGATGATGCGGCACCCTCACTGGCGATGTCTTGCTTCTTCCCATGCTCACTCTTCCCATCAAGAATGACTTCTACCGTCTGGCGCTCCGTGTCAGGCAGTACCTCTTCTTGTCCGCCCAAGGCGCTGCTATCAACAATGATGATGTCCAGATCACTGGCACTGGGCCCTGGTGCTGGCACCTCTATCACCTCTGCCACTGTCTGCGGTTCCGGTTCAGAGGTCTCGACCATGGCGGGCACCTCCACTAGCATTTTCACGCCTTCCAAGATGTTCTTTGATGGAAACACAATCTCATCTGCCTCCTTTGTATCTGAGTGAGACTTGGCCTCAAGCAACGCCTTTCTGTTAGCTTGCTCCTCCCTCTCCATCTTCTCAACATCAGCGATGGCTTGTGATACAGCCTGCACAGACATCCAAGAAATTGTAAGTAAATTGTGGTTTGCATACCACCAGTGGATACTTCGAATGTTTTGGGCACCTTATAGAAAAAATGCACAACAAAGGAATTTCAGAGAACAGGTGTATTTACATCCTGTACCCCAAATGCTCCTCTAAGTTATGACTACATTTTTTAAACAACCTGTATACTACACTTGGACCAGGTTTACATACCTCGAGTTCTTCATCAATCAGCTTCTGTGAAGGCTCGTGTGGAGGCCTCAGGGTTCCCACATCTTGCGGCTCCACAACTACCTCCAGGCCTACCACCTGGTCTCGCAAACTGTAAACATCACAAAAATAATGTTCATTAACAGATAAGTAGTTTACATCATGGCCTTTTATCTGGTTGAGAAGTCCCTATTTCTGTGGAACCCGAAGGTTCATTACATTTGCCATTGGATCATACATGAGCCAGCTCAATCCAGTCCATTCTGCTGGCATGGGCCAGTAGCAACTTAGCAGTCAGTCAGACAGATATACCGGAAGGGAGCAGTTGTGGCATAAATTGAAGTACTATTCTGGACGGACAGAAGAAAACTACAACAAAAACCTGGCATTCTAGCCAAGATTCAAACTAAGCACCTCCAAAACACACGTTTAGGGCATTACTACTATGCCAAAACATCGGGTACCAGAGAAAATATGTTACATCCCCACAGAATAGGGTACAAGTACAGAAACTTTATGTGAACACATACTTTGGTACTGTCACTGTGTCAGAATTCTGCTCCACTTCCACAACTTCGACGGGTTCATCTGTGCCAACTTCGCGGCGCACTCGCATCTCTTGGTGCTGAGGGTGGCACACTTCTCCTGCTGCAAATGGCACAGAAACAAGTCGGTAACAAACATAATCTACAGACTGGAATCCCAAATTAATGTTCCTCAATTTAAGGTTTCCTCTCATTTAACATTTAATTTCAATGATTCCAAATCGATAATCTGAAAGTAAAATTTCTTCCATTTAACATTTTCCTTGGTTTAGTGTCCAAATACACAGCTTCGCAGAGAAACCTCAAGTAGGGCTTTCACTCTGCTAAGATTATGGTCTTCTGCAATGTGTATTCAGGTAGCCATGGGTACCAACATTTCTCAAACCATTCTGGTAAAATTTCAATTAAGACTGATTTGAGCATCAAACAAAATAGGGGATATAGTGACCCGATATGAATCAGAAGTATTTTATACATTTAGGGTTTAGGGAAGCACTCAAACCAGTTTCTAAGTCACTCAGACACTTCCCTCTTTCTCAAATGACATTTAAACTGTTGAGTGACACCCTGTTCACATCCTGCCAAAATTTTCTGATTTTTTTTTTAAATATTCAACACAATTAAGTAAACTGTGAAAAAATTAACAGTATAAGCTTCATCACACTTTGACTACTTTCCTTATTAACTTGTCCGAGACACATCAGAAGTAAAGGAAGCAGCCGTGCTTGTAGCCCAACAAGTATACAGACTGTCCATATATAGCAGTCTACATAGGGCACGTTTCTGCTCCTCACCAACTGCAATGAATTTGTGGGAATGTCGACCGAGACACCACCTGGCAGCTGCTTACAGTGCAGATACGTGAATCACAGACCTACAGAGAATATATAAGAGAACACAACTCAGCTATGGCATGGAGATTAAACTGTCACCTGGAAAGGGTCCATACCTTTCCTTGATACAGTCAGATTTACCGTTTGATTTCACTGCTATCAGCAAACAAGCTAAATAAACCACAACATGGACTTCATATTTTTGATTCTGCTGTGGCAACAACAAAATGGCTTGGAAAACAATCAAACGAAGAGGGTATGGCCAAAGCAATCCAATGACTGGCATGAGATGCTGTGAAAAGTCGACCTGTTTTGCTGAGTGACAAAAAATGCATTAACTGAAATAAAATACAGGTAAGGTAAAAAGGTAAAGTTGTTCCTGTGCTTAACTAATTAAGCACTACGCCATGAAGGCATATGGAGAAGTGGATGCATAGATCCACATTTTATTGACTTCAGCACTAGCTGGAGGTGAGTGGTCAGCTTCACGCCCGTCGCTTTACCCTGAGGGAAAGAGCCCTCGGTACCCATTGGACAGGAGGTTGGGTGGACCCCAGAGCCGGTCTGGAAGACATGGAGAAGTGAAAATTCTTCACCCTACTGGAACTTGAACTCCAACTCCTTGGTCATCCAGCCCATAGTCAGTCACTATACAGACTACACTATCCTCGCTTTGGAAATGAAATGATATAAACAAATATATTATGTCATTATTTAATTAATATCCTTCATGGTCTGCCAGAACAGCATGCGTTATACCAGGTACAGGCAGTCCTTAGTTAAACCAATAGGTGACAAGAAACATGGGGGCTTGGAAAACATACTGCAATTCATACAGTCTCAGTGTATCTCAACAGAGAGAAGCTGTGAAGATGTTTC